AAATGGTCTTAAGACCGGTCTTAAGACCAAGCCCAACTTCGAGTACCACAACACTGCTGGACTGCATGATGGGATTCAGGGAGTTTTTGTAAACTTTGGGTGAACATAATGTTGTAGGTTTAACTGTTGGGATCAATATGATGACAGGAGCTCCCAAGAAAGTTAGAAAATCACTGACATTTCTAGAAGAAATTCTACACATTCACTTGTAAACTTATTCCTCTCCCTCCTCCCTTTTTAATATTTTTCACTGTACTTTACAGTCATAATGCTTTTAATTGGTACTTAGTTATAAAGAGGAAATAACATGGTAAATGGTTTTCAAAATGTTTGAATTGTATCCCTTCTTAAGGTAATTCTCTAATAGCTTTGAATTTTGTTGCCCCTTTTTTTTTTTGCTAAACAGTCTGAGCTCAGTCAGATTGGATGACCTGTTGGCTCCGCTCCTTGGTCTTCATGGTGCTGTTTGTTCACTAATGTTCTCTACAGAACCTCTGAGGCCACAAACAGAACAGCTGTATCACATAATTAGGTGCATTAGGTAAAACGATGACTTCTGAAGACAAGTCAGGTCATTGCCTTCCTATGTAGTTCTGTTTGATTCTCATCTCCCTCAGTGTTCCATGTAGGATTTCTTCCATCAAACTCAAGTTCTCAGTTTTGGGAACAATGAACAATTCTTTATTTTTGAATCTGCTTTCATAAAGCCAAGATACTAAGATGACCAAAGGTATTTTAGAATTACTAGTCTGTTTTGGGATTTTATAAGTTGACTAAGGCTTTCTAGTGAGACTTATGTGTTACCTTGTCTTTAGTGCTCTTTAACAAAAACTTGTCTGCTGGAAATTTTGCTAAAAATGTAATAAATAATCAGTGGGGATAAAGATACAGCACCGACTGGTTTACCAGATGAATACCTGCAGTGACTTTAACAAAGTGGTAAACTGCACATTCAGACCTGGTGAAATCATAGTGAACCAGGTAGAAATTGGAAATTAGAAAAAAAAACAGGGAAATCTTAAAATAAGTTATGAGAGGATTTGATAACTTAACGGTTCCACACAGGCTCTTAAAACAAATCTAAGTAAAGTTAAAAAACAAGTTGAGAACTTTAAGAGGCCGTCTATTGCAAGCTTACTCACAGCTAGAGATAGACAGCGCCTCTGATTTGCAGCACTGCTCAATCAGTTGGTTGCAGTTTTCCACCAGAATTTCCAGCTGAGTTTTATCACAGGAAACACCGAGGAACTGGGCCAGATGCTCCACCATCGTCCCCAGGTCCTGGGAGGGAACACAAACTGCAGCATCACATTGGAGCAGCAATTAGCTCTGTGCACAAAGCTAACTGCAACCTCCAAACATTCAGATGGTTTCATTACCTCTCTGACAGTAGGTCAGGTTTTTTACACTCAGACACAAAACAGTTTTGTTTGAACAAATCTGTCATGTTGGGACAGTAAAATATATCATCATAATCTATCACACATACATGTATTGTGAAAGGCCATTTTGACTTGGAGTCACTTTGTTATTGCTAAGGATGAACTTTCTACTAAAGAGGTTTTCAACAGTAAATACAAGAAACTGATTCTGTACTAACAATATATAAATATGTATGATTTATTTTTTTTCTTTTGTATTTCAAAACAATACTTTCACTCATAAAATGAACATTTGACACACTTTTTTTCTCATTCATTTCTCTGCTCAGCCACAGAAGCAGCTGTAAGACTCACTTCACATAAAATCACCAGGAAGAATGTTTACTACGCTGGGAGAGATTTGGAGCAATAAAAGATCAAGCCCTGATTGCTGCTTCACAGCAGCTCTGAGTCATGCAGAAAACACTGGCATCATGTTACATAACATGAACAGGTTGGAAGCTGATATAGCTGAGCTGCATTTGATGCTTTCATTTAGAGTGGTGCCAGGACAGATTTTACTGGGATTTATTCGTTTATTACTCCTCTTATTGTGAATGGACTTTACCAAGCTCTGCCCAGAAACACCCTCGAAAATCCCACGTGGCTGCATGTCTCACAAACAAAGCCTCACAGAGCTTAGTTTCTATGTAAACATGGTGTCTTTCACTTCGATTGACTCTCTGCAGAGTATTTCTGAGTCGATTAGTGT